TGAACATATTTCAACATTAATATGACAAGCAAATTTGGCCAACAAGTATGGATTATAAGGAACTACCCATCGGTTGTCGAGCCAGACTGTTCTGACCTTGGCTACATGATGGTTATTTCTTCTTCGATATATTGGATAAGAGTTTAGTCCATATTTTGTAGTTTCTGAAAAATCTTTTGGATAATTAAATTTGCAATTTTTACCATTCTTCATGCATGGGCAGTTTGGATCAAGGTCACCACATGGTCCATGCATCATATGTTTTACAACTAAGTTATATAAGTTTAACTGGGTGTTCCTATCTGGTAATTCTACACAAACAAATCTATCAAAAGCTTCAGGGGAGAATATTTTTGAAGCTGGTTTTAAAATCAGAAGGAAATGAGCATGTGGGAGACCTCTTTTTTGAAACTCTATTACATATATGTAAGCAACAACTTCGCCAAAAATATTATTTACAAAGAGTTCCTTTTTTAAAGCTTCTTATTAGCACAAAATATTCTAGCGACTATATCTGGTCTATTTTGGGTTTCATCAGACTGTAAGCAGAAAGGTTTTATTTCAGGCCAGCTTGGATTTGCAGTCATAGTTAAAAAGATGTCAGGCTTTCCATAACGTTGTACTAAAGTGATAGCATCTACGTATCGTTTCCTTATATCTTTAAGTCCTTCTATGAAAGATGTAGGTAGTATTACCCGTTTACCAATATCAGAACCTACATTATATCCCTGAGAAACAGCATCTAAAAGGCCATGATAAACATCATTTTGCAAGTAATTTTGCATTTTGTCTGTTGTATAAAACTGTAATCTTGATGTTTCAATTTTGATATACATGTCTATGACATATTGTTGCAAAAGTCTGCTAGTATGAAGCAAAAATGATTTATCATTTTGTCTAGCTTGTAGTTTATAACAGTAATATTTGCGACATGAAACTTCAGTTCTTGAATTCTTTTTTCCTTTTGCACCTACATATTAGTAACTTCCTGTTTAGGCTGATAGCTTCTAAATTTTCTAAAGTTAAAAAAGGAATAAACATGGACGTTGTTTTTACCTTCCATTTCAGCCTCTATGAAATCCTGAGCATTGTTATAGCTTCAATTGTGTTCATTAATTCCCCATGGCAGGTTCTTAGACAAGAAGCATTTTCTTGTGGCTTCAGTTTTCTAATTGATCGATGCCACCCTGGCTCTCCACCAACGAATATAAGAGGGTATTGTAGTAGATCATAACATCCAAAATATTGTCGAATGATTTGCGGTTGGGTGTTCTTATCATGAGTTTTAGGATAAACCTGAATGTGCTGACCTATGACCTGTTTAGGTTCTTTAGATTCTAACCATATACCGGCAACTTGGGATGCAGAGGGCTTATTGAAAACATTATTATCAAATGTGGGATTAGCATGTAGAGCAATCTTATACTCTGATAAGTTTTTACATTATTGAGACTTCGGAAGAAGTGAGCATAAGGATTGTTTTTCAAAACATGCATCAAAACTTGGACAACACTTTCTTTAAATTTTTTAGAACTTATGGCTAACCGGTTTTCAAGTTCGTGTTCTGTGTCATAAAAGTAAAGTTGTAGGTTTTTTGGTTTTTCATTGTCAGATGGCATTAATGTGTCCATAAAATGGTACAACTGACCCTGAACACGGAATGTGTAAATCCCTTCATTTCTCTGGGCTAAAAATTTATCATAGTGAACACCCAATGATGTAAATGCAAACATAATATTATAACTGCGAACACAAGTTTGAAAATGTTTCAATTCTTCTGAATTTCCAGTATATAGTTGTACTAAAGCTGGTGGCATAATTGTTTCTTGCAATTTTATTTCCCCAGAAGAACAACAGAAACCCGGTGGTTCAGCATACAAACGCCTTGCACCACAAAATTGGCAGTTTGGTGCATCTGGCAAAAGGTCAGGGCTACTTGCTATAGATTCTAAAGGATCAGCTATTTATTCTTTCCTACACTTTTTATGGTAATTATTCCTTACTTCCACACGTTGTTCGACTGAATTATGTTTTCTTTTTCTCGTCATTAATATTTCAAAAATTAAATTGTAATTTCACACAGATATGCACAAGAGGCAAAAAGAATTGGCAAAATAGAATGAGCTAAAACTTAAAAACTACAAGAGATCAAGTAACTGATAAATAAAAGACGATCAGACAATATAAAAAAACATACATGCTTCCAGATGCGTCTCCTGAAGTGGACATTTCTAACTAATTTCTTCGGTGATGAACGTACTTTGCAGACTTCAATGCCTTTTGCAAACTGTTGAAACAAGTATGAAATTAATTTATATTAAATAAGATGCAATGACACAATTTAAAGAATGCAGGAAATAGGGAGCTCGTTGTCAAAACATTTAGCGAGAAGCTTCTACACTTTTATCCCATTGTCATCACAGAGACAATGATCCAAAAAAAAAAAAAAATGCAAAGCAATAAAAAGAGAAAGACAACATTCGGAGGCAAAATGCAAAAGAATAATTGTTGCTGTTGAATGGCGACAGAGTAAAACGAAACCCAAATAAAGACAATAAGAATGAAAGCATGGGTATTGATTTTGAAACAAAGCCAGCACAATTCCTTTGGTGCATTAATTCTGCTTGTGATTACTTCAAATCAATGTTTGCTATGATACATGGGATTTGAAGTGTAGGATTACCTCTCTGAAATGATCCTTTTGGCTATTTACTTTGCAATTCAACATGTGGGTTTACTAACAGCATTAGCTTCTTCCATATGACTTACCAAAGAGCCATTTTACTCAAATTTGACTCTGTTTGGATCAATGGTTTTGCTTTCATTATGAGCAAAATTGAGGTGCACTACATATACTAAAACTGGCTACAAAAAAAGGATCAGTTTAATCGATGAGCTCTTTGCTTGAGTAATCAACCTAGGATTCGATTTGAAGAAGAACCACTCTAACAGATGAGCTATTTGGTAGGGTAATCAACTCAGGAATCAATTTGAAGAAAGACCAGCATATAAAGCTTCAAGAAAAGGGGCAAAATTGAAACTTGTGACTACCAATTTAGAGTTCAAATTCAAAGAGGGATAAAGCAAAAAGCCTGGATTTCCTTGAGGTAACTAATTCTAATTTCCTGATAGAATTTTGTCTCAGGAATGTAGATTAAAATATATAAACTGGGATTAGGTAGACATGTTTTTCTTCCGTTGCTACATGATTTTAATTCATCCAAGATGATGGTCTTTCTTAGATGGATGTGGGAGCTTAATCTTGCAAACTTTCTTGGAAAAAATGGTTTTGCTTTGAAAACAAAACTAAACTCATTGATTAGACCGTCGCCCTCTTCTCTGTGACCAGTAAAGAAAGCTAAACAAAAATTTGCAGAGAATAGGATTCTCTTTTGAACAACAAATTAAAACTAAATTGATACACTCATTTAGACCATAAAATTGGCTACTTTATGGAGAAAAAAAACTGCAGTAATCCATTAACTCTACATCCTCTTACATGTCCACTCAAACTAAACTGAGTATGTGAAATCCTTATTTTAACAATTGCTCAATCATTTTCAAACTGACTAATTTTTGTAACAAAGGAAGAGTGCACAACCGTATTGCCTATATGCACCAAAAAGAACAAAACAGAGAGATTTTAATTCTTCTGTGAACACTAAAACCAAAATCACAAGCAGCCCGTTTCAAAGAAAATAATGACAAGCAATAGGAAATTTTTTCCACTACATATAGGCCAAAGCCGATGCAAAAATTTTCTCTAATACCAATAATCAAACACTTAACATGCCTTAAAAGCAAATACTTTGAACACACAAAATGAATCAAACTCAAACCTCTAATTACTGTCTTACAGAACTAATTATTGAGCTCATAGATAGGTCATTCGGTGAATGAGTTCTTTAAGAACAAGATTCGAACACTTAATGTGCAACCTAAAAAATAGATCTCAAGTTCAATTCCAGTTGCAAAAACCTGTGCACCACTAAGAAATTCATCCTGCTCTTCTCTTTAAAGTAATCAATGATTTTAACATCCACTCACTAATTTAACAAAATAAAGTTTGGTATGAATGAACTGAAGAGATGGTTTGAACCGAATCAAATAAATTTGAATCAAAGAATAACCAATAAGAATCTGAAAATTACTAAACCATACTGTACTTTTTGTTCTTTAACTCAACTCTTTCTTGTCCCTGCTAATTCTATACGCCTCCACTGCCACAAAAGATCTAATCAGGCCCTTGGTGAAACCGGAGAAGACAAAGGCAACACGGAGAAGATAAAGCCGAAACCGAAAGAATCAATGAAAGTGGTCGATCGATTTGTGGACTTCAATAGATTACTGGAGAGAGTGACCAGCCTCCAAACAAGACCAGTAATCCAAAAGTTCTTCGTTCAACTTTCGACTTACTCCCCGTAGCAAAAAGATATGAAGCAAAAGCAGAAAGAGGTGGAGGAAAGAACTAGAAACATGAAAATTAATTTTAAAAACAAAAGAATCCTTTGGATTTGAACAAAGAATGCCCACGTGGAAGAAAAATGGACTGTATATAAAACCGGCAACCGAACGATGCCGCGAGGTAAAAGAAGCGAACTACCCAAATGGAAGAAGAAGGGGTCCAATCACTTATCTCCACATCACCAAAAGGGAGAGGCAACCTGGAAAAAACCGTGCCAAGATTTGCCATTCCCCCTTTATATTATGTTGATACTTTAGAATAATCGAAGCAATTTAGGAAATTAATTCAGATTTTGGACTTTCTCACTCAAGTTTCAATTTTGGCACCCATGATCCCTTGAGCACTCTCAAAACCACCCCTGCTACGCATTTCGCTGAACAGGTAAACTTCATTTCTGATTTTACAGTAAAATTGACATAATCCCATTTCATGATTCCATCATTTGAGGTGTTTACGGGATCTAATTTAATTTAATTACTGCGCCGCCGCATAAAGCCGTGGAGGTACACCAGTGAAAACAACTCTATAATAGAACATGGACCAGGAAGACATCAAGATGTTGGTCAGGAAATGGTGGGACATTTACAACGATGAGTCCTTGGATTACAAGAACATCTTAACTGCAACTGCCGCTCCGGCCACAAATCCGGTGGCTATTGGGTCTGTCGGAGAACCATCGCTGCCTGGAGTCGTCAGAGAATCATCATCTACTGCTACCGGTGTTGTTTGGCTCTACAATGTGCGCAGGGAACAATAGTAGGTTAATTTTTTTCCTTTATAAGGATAAAGGCTATATGTGTAATTTAATTAAAAAAAGTCAAATCGGATAATAATTTTGGGACAAAAATTTTTTCGCAAACTGGACAAAAATTATGGGACGGAGGCAGTAATATTTTTGGGTGAGGAGTAAAGTTTTCCATTTTGTTTAGGAAAGGTGTGGGTTTTTTCGTCTTTTCAGCTCTTTGGCCGTTTGACAGTTTGACTCTCCATAATCAGTCGAGGAATTATCTTTCCAACCCGCGAGTTTTCTCGTTCTACTTGGGGGGAAAAACGCAAAATGTAGCCTTAACCTTGAACAAAGGAGTATTCAACCGCAATTGACATGTGGTCCCTGGGTTGTATTATGGCCGAGCTATTAACTAAGGAGCCACTATTCAAAGGGTATGACGAGCATAACCAGCTTGCGAAGGTCGGAATATGTTGAAGCCCTCAGTTTACAAATTGTTGAAGTTTATTCTCCTTTAAAGGAAAATATTTTGGCCCTTTACCTGCTTATCTTGGTTTTGAAGATATATAAAATTCTTGGAACACCGAATGAGAAGACTTGGCCTGGGTTATCAAAGCTGACTCAATGTAAGGTTGACAACGGGGTGGAGAAGTAAGTATTGCTTTATGTTTGTCTATGTTCTACACAAGTGGAATATGTAATTTATCTTTCTTGCGTTTCCCACTCTTTTCCCAGGATTCTAGCTTTGGGTGATTCTGGTCTGGCTTTCTTGGCCTCCGTTTCTGACAATTTCAGTTCTGAAATAAAGATGTCATGTTTCTTTTAACTGTCTTCTGATTGTTTCAGGTGGAATGGGTTGCGTGAAAAACTCCTTGCGACGTCACCAGCTTTATCTGAATCTGGATTCGACTTATTGAAGAGGCTTTTGACATATGACCCTGAGAAGGTATGTGGATTCAAGGTCATGTTTTTAGCTGTCACCATAAAATTTCTAATGTGTCTGTAAACAAGTGGTAATATTTGTATCCGTGCAGAGAATAACTGCCGAAGCTGCTCTAAAACACGAATGGTTTTTTGAATCTCCTCTGCCTGCAACAAAAGAATCTATGGCTTCTTTTCTAGCACTGAGGTATTTTGGTCCTGCTACTTCTTTTATGAGAGCATTACATTCCCATGAATGTCGTAATAATTTTCTATTGCAACATCTAGATGCATTCAAACAGAAGAGCCCCAGAGGAAAAGAGGTTGAATGAAATGCTAGTGGTTTATTGTGACTCGTTCAAAAAAGGTGTATGCTTTCTGTCAGGAATCTAGTGAAAATGTTCCAGGGTTGTGATGGAATGATCAAGAATGTGAGATTATTAGTTCTTTCTGTACTCTTACTTTTCTCCTTCAGATGTGATCCAAATGATCGTGTCTCATTAGTTTGGTTTGAGAGACGTGAAAACCCTGTCTAAGCACTGTTCCATCATATGTTAGGGGGGAGTATTACAGGCCATAAAAGGAAATGGTATCAACTATCATGTTCTCAATGTTGCTTGGATGCGTGTTAGGATAACCTTTCTGCCACTAGAACTGATGACGTATTTTCCACCAGAAAATTTGTAAGATTTCTCTCCTCTTGGAAGCTCCTAGGAAGTAAGAACCAGCTGAAACTCATATAGATCGTAAAGTGTACTTGTCTAGTGCATGTAAATTCATGTATATTGTTCCTTTATCACGTAACCAAGACGTTTTGGGATGAATAATCGTAGTAAATTTTCTAAATAGAGTACGGGGGATTAGCCTAAACATTCCAACTGCAGAAGCTTTTGCGGTTTTTCTCTCCCGATCTTAGTGATCCACTTGAATGCACAAGCAGGATGCGAACAATTACTTGCACAATCACAAGCGAAGTAATCTTGCAAGATAACCCGAAGCATGGTGCTAATTGTTAATCTTGCAATAGTATCACCTTTGTTGACGTAAATTGCTCTTGTCATGTTGCATTTTTTTGTTTGCGGGACTAAACCCTATCGCATTAGAAGTGAATTTTGGTTTTGAAGACTAGGTTAGTTTCCTACTGAAGTAAAAAATAAGAAACTACTCCCTCTGTTTCAAAATTATTGTTCAATTTGGATTTTTACTTTTAATTTGGTAAAATTGACGGAAATCAGTGTATCAATGCACCAATGCATCTTGAGTCGTACTGCTTAAACAATTTTTCAGTGTTGAAATACAAAGTAAGGTTACTTATATCCTGAGACCCCAGACCCCAATCAATTTACGAATATATTGAGTATGATGTTGTTGTTGTTAAATTTTTGCTTTTAATTCAATTTGTATTAAAATAAAAATCTAAATTGGACAATAATTTTGGAATGAAAGAAAAATATAAGTTAAGGTATTTTCCTCTTTCCATTTCTGTAGTATTTTAATTCAATTTCATTTCCTTCTGCCTTGATTGTGGAATTTGAAGTAAATAGATGAAAATTGGAACCAATTATATTTTATGGAATTTGAAGTGTTGGTTTAATCGTGACTTAGCTTATGATGAAACTTTAAATGTATTTAATTGTTAGACTATAAATGAGTAATGACACAGGAAAGGGTAAATAGAGTGTTAATATATTGCGATGCACTGTCTGTAGATAAAAAGAAAGGATAATGTATAATGTCTAGTGATGAAGGTCGAATCCGTCAGGATGATGAGGCAATGATGTCCATAGACCTAGGACCTGAAAGATAATGGTTAGCACTCCGATAAACAAGTTCGTCCCGAGAGTAAAAGTATAAAACTTATGAGTTAAGAAGTGAATATAAAACTTCACAAATGAGGTATTTATTGATAAGGTGAAGTGGAATATTCTTTACTATTAACTGGCTCCGGCCTTTTCTTAGGGCTTTCAAATCCTCATTAGCTAGTATATGAATAATTCCTAGGCCACGAATGGTGATTGGACTCAACACATGTCCATGCCCCATCAAATGCCTTTGCCAAGTATTAATAGAGAAAGACACGCACACACGCACATATGCAATTGCAAGTTTTGAATACAATACTTGGCAAAATAACAAAATGAACCTGTCATTCAGACTCTCGGTGGAGCCGTCCATTCCTGGATCTACCTCATTAGGTGAAACCACAATCCTTCGTGATGGCCAAAGAGTAATAGCTAGTGACTGTGATCGAAGTGGCACTAGTACCCCGAAACCTTGTCGAAGGACCTTCGACATCGAGCATAGGGATATGTCCCACATATAAGTTGAAAACGGACGTGCTATTTAAATAAATGAGAGGGCATAAGTCGTCTGAGAGAATCATCCCCGAGCCATCAAAGAAGTCCAAAAACGGAATGTGAGGAAGAACCTATTCTGCATTCTCAGGTAAGTGATGTCCAAGCACCGATAAAGAAAGAGAGCTCTGCTACCAGACTCAGGATGGGCTAATCATAAACCCATACAGGGAAAAATCGGATTCCAATATCAAGAGAAGCTGACGCCTAACCAACTTTCAATAAATAGGAATAATTTTTAACAACACATAATAGTCCGAGTCAACAATATAAAAAGACCTTGATGGCACATGATAGACTGAAAGACATAACCAGAGTGTCATTTGAGCATCCAAAGGACATATAGGAGCCGTAGTTAGATAAGTCCAAGACTCGGTTTTAATTAAACATCTAATGAATCAATATATAAACTGACACGGTTTATGATAGGCCGAAGGAAGTCGTCCGAGCATCATCAATTGGTAACGAACATAAGAAAAGTCCAAAGTCCAATGCCGGTTATGCATTCGATAGGCCAAGACAAATGATAGGGGCTCATGATAGGGCATATAACATTGTTAGGGCATCATCGGCCGATGGCCAAAATTTTGCTTCAGAATTAGCTGAGTCTGATTAAGTAGCCGAGTGACCATGATTAATAATTACGGCTCAATAAGGCCAAAGGGTACCCTAGATATGCTATGAGTGAAATTCAAACCTCAATGGCACACGATAGGGCGAAGGGTATTATTAATGGCATGCAGACGTTGGGCTTAGCTCAAAGGAAACCCTGGGGCTTCTCCGGCCAACTGGGGTGGAAGACCCCCGGGTCCAAGATTGTTCCGCCCTGCAAAAAGAACAATTTTTTTGATTTGGTCAACCAAAGTAAGGTACATCTCATTTAGACAATGATGCCCCTGCTTAATTTTGGTTTTTCTAAAACTGGACTTTTTTTGAAGAAACAAAACTTTTTATCAAACTAGACTATTTTTTCAGGGCAAAAGAAGTAATTTATATATATGAATCTATATATATATATATATATACATATATTGATAGAGGATGAAAAACGCTGATGTGGCACGAAATTGAGAAACTCAATTAAGTTGATGTAAAAAAAAAAGATATTATCATTATGTATTAATAATTTTACGATTCGACTTAGGATAAAGAAAATCTAAATATTTGGTTACACCAAATCTTAACAAAAAATCTAAAGATAATTAGGATAATTATGATTCTTTAAAAAACAATTACAACATGATATCCATCATTAAGAGTTTGGTCATGCGTAAAATAAGGGGGTAAAAATTATTTACATTATTTTCTAAATGAATTATTAGTTTTTTTACAAATAGGTAATAGTTGGCTCACATGCTACTTTCACGTAGAGTGAACAATTAATTATTAACTAATTAACCAAACATGATAATTCCATATAAAATTAGTTGCATATAACACAATCAACATGTGAAAATTTAAATAATTTTTTAAGGATTAATTAAATTTGTGAAGTTGATAAGAATGTAGTTAACTGTTCCAAATGAATCACAATGTGTCTGTTAAGAAAATAACTTATATAGTTTACGAGGGACCAAGCCAAAAAATAATATGATTATTTTTAATTTTTAATACTTTTCATATTTTAATAATATCTCAAATTTTATTGACTGTTTCATAATTTAATAATTATTTATAAATATTTTATTAATTAAAACTTTTGAAATTTTCAATTTTTTTTAAAAAAACTTAATAGTTAAATCTATTGATTTTTTAAATTTTAAATTAATCTTGTTAATAATAGTTAAACTCCATTAGACCTTTTTACTTCCTCCTTCACAGAAAAATAGTCCACACTGAATTTTGAGATTTGTACTAAAAATCGTAAAAATTTAAAAACTCAATGTGTACTATTTTGTTAGGACATGTTGTAGTATTTAACAAGTATAAACCACTCATCTCCTTACAGAATATATTTACACCCGTCGTATATTTCCCGTGCAATAAAAAACAATTTCTCCAAATTAATAACTTATTAATTTATTGATTATTAATTTATGGATGAAATAGTAAAAATTTACTATATACTTAATTATTAAATAAAATAAAATTATTGGAAGATATGAAAACCGTTCTCTGCTGCGCTGTGACTGTCTTGCAAGAAAATTTTCAATACAGCTGCTGTACCACGTAAGATTGTGCAGCCAGATACATAAATAGAGCAAGATTGTAATTTTACCGAGAAAATTATCACAAAATTAAGGGGCCATCATATTTTTTCCATTATAATGAGTGTATCGCTGCTATAAAAAAAAAAAATACACTTGTTGTATAAAATAATTTTTGGTCTTGTAAAGACAAGGGCCAATCTCTTTAAAAAACCAAACCCACTCCGCACCTCTTTCTACTCCAAATTCAAATTCTACCACTTCAAAAAAAACAAAAATTCAAATTCTCGCACGCACTCACGCACTACCGGGGGTACACGATGTCGTTGTGTTTTACAGAAACGACGGACGTTCTGCGTCTGGTGAACACGGAAGGGAGACGGCAAATTACGGAGAATCGTAAGAATGAGCGGAAGCGTATAGAGGCGGACTCCGAGGACGAGCGCCTAACTAAGGAGCCTCGACTTACTCAGCAATTCACCCCCGACGAGGTTTTTTTTTTTTTTTTTTTGATTTTTTTCCCCTTGTCCGGTGGCGTCCTACTTTCTGTGGGTGAGCAGTATTTGTCTTTTGCCGATTGATCTGTGATTTGTTACGAATCGAGTCTGATTCCTCGTTTTAGGTTTGGTGCCTTTGAATTCTTTTGGTTTTTCAATTTGGGTTTGCTTTAAGTTCTGTTTCGTTTTTCATCTTTGTTTGGTGACTATGCATTCTTGTTGATTTTTGTTGTATTAAATAAATTTGTGTAAATGGCTAATCTTGTTTTCTTTAGTATATGTAGTTGCTTTTGTTGGTTTGGAGATTGGGAAATTAGTTGTTCTCGCGCGAATTTTATTCCGTTTCTAGTCACAGCTTTCCAGGTTACACCCTTTGACCTGATGCAGTAGATTTTTTTTGTGTGTAAATTAACATGTTGTTCTTCCAATTGTAGTTGGAGAACTATCGGAACGTTTTTCGTTTGAAGTTAATGAGGATGTTCTGTGAGATACTTTCCACAGGTACCTGCATTGTTTATTTTTTTACCTGCATTGTTTTAATACTCTGAAGTTCCTCCCCCATGAAGTTGTGGTCACTCTCTGTATGATTAAAACCTTCTATTTGCAGTAAAAAGTTGCTCTTCTTATGCTGACAAAATTATACAAGATGGATTTGTTCCCGACTTTGTTGAGTTCCTATCAAGGAATGATTTCCCAGAGCTCCAGGTTTGATGATGTTACAATTTGTTGTATTTTTCTTCACTCTTTCTCTACAATTGCACTGCCAGTAGGATTATCTCTAACTTCTATTTATGTGGTCAACTAGTTTGGAGCTGCCTGGGCACTTGGAAATATTGCATCTGGTACTTCTCATCATACTAAAGTGGTGGTCGATCATGATGCTGTGCCTACTTTTATAAAGCTCCTCAGTTCTCCGTGTTCTGATGTTCGTGAGCAGGTTTGTTTTTTTCCTTGAGGCCTTTTTTGGTGTTGCCGACATGGGGCTAAAACGTCTTTTGACTTCTAGTACTCTGTTGTAGGCTTAACATTAGTTTTGATAATGTTTAGGCTGTATGGGCACTGGGAAACATTGTGGGCGACTCTTGTAAGCATCGCGATCTTGCTCTGAAAGAAGGGGTTTTGCCTCCATTGCTGGCACAATTGAATGAGCATGCAACACTGTCAATGCTAAGAAATGTGACATTGACGTTGTTAAACTTCTTTCGAGTCAAACCTCAACCTCCATTTGAGCAGGTTAGCGGCGTGATCATATAGATTTTTTCCTTTTTATTTCTCTAATTTACTCTCATATTGATGCTTGTTGGGTTTAATTATTCAGGTGCGTTGTGTACTTCCAGCTCTTCACATACTTATCAATTTTGATGATGACCTGTGCTTGCTCTCATCTGCATGCTGGGCTCTGTCATATCTTTCTGTCGGTTCAAATGATAAAATCGAAGCTCTAATGGAAGCTGGCTTATATCCACGACTTGTGGACCTACTCAAGTACGTTTCACCCCTGAATATTTTGCTTTTTTCTTCTTCTCAATTGATTGCTGATATTAAACCAGTTGTAACATTTCAGACACCCATCACCTGCTGTGCAAATTCCTGCAATCCGCACTCTCAGTAATATAGCAAGAGATAATTATCAAAGGCGGGCAGTGATTGATGATAAGTTGATTGAACCTTTAATTTATTTGCTACAAACTGCTGAGTTTGCTACGAAGAAAGAAGTTGTTCAGGCTGTCATAAATATCATTTCTGGTCGAAGTGGCAGGATTGTGGGTTTGCAGGACTTTATAGAGACCTTATGTGATCTTCTTGAGGACCATGATCCTAGGATCATTACTGTTTGTCTGGAGGGACTTGAAATCATATGTAGTGAAGAGAGTAAATGCACTACCGACTTCAATTTTGTCGCCAAGTTGATTGATGAAGCTCAAGGCCTGGATAAAATCAAGGCCTTGCAGAGCCACGACAACGATGAAATCCGACGGAAAGCTTTGGAGGTATGGGATCCAATGTATAACGAGGCACGAAACGTATGGAAATTCTTTGAACAGTTGGGAGACCTTTTTCTTTGGTGCTAATGCTTCTGTTATTGTTGGAGTTTTGGTTCTCAAAAGTGTTAAGCAGGACCCGTCTGTATATACTATATAAACCTTTGCTTTATGAACGAACTGGAAAGACTATGTTCAAATGTTGTTAGAGTACAGTTTGGACTTCTCGAACTGTCCGCATTCCTGACTCACATTGCTGTGAATCTTGCAGATATTCTTGTAAGTTTACATCGGATCTTTCGTCTTATACCGCGAAGTAATGATGTTTGATATTTCATCCTTATTTAATGCTTCACAACGACCATACATTTTCAGAATTTCTGAAGAAACAGTAGGAATTCTCTCTTTAATACCTGTCAGTGGATCTCGTTCCCTTAGTTCCAAGGCCCCCAATTCATTAGAAACCCTCAGGATCCCCGCATGTATGCTTGGACCACTTCATTCATCTAAGGACTTGTAGTGCTTCGTGCATGCTTCCACAAACGCATGAATCAATCATCGCATTCCATGATATCACATTTTAGTTAAGAGTTAAATCGTTTATAAGATAATTGAGTACATCATTAGTGAAGTAGGTTGGTCACACTATGGCCAAATTCCATTTTGAACACCGCAAAGCCTTGAATTTCCTTTCCTTGTTTCAATTCCCTTGATTTTCCAATAACAGTGGCAGTTTTGCGCAAATCGGGCCTGAAGCCCTTGTTGCATCCAAATGATTTGATTGATCGTGAAGCCTGATCGAGTCTACCATTTGATACATAACTGGACATAAATGCACTCCAAGGAATAGCATTCCTCTCCAAAGAAGACGACTCTTCATCCTGAGATAATATCCCCTCATTTGCTGTACCTTTCCACCCAACCAGAATGCATAAAGAACTGCTTAGAATAAATCTCTAGTCTTGACTCCGTGAGCATGAATCTCCTGACCAAGTTGTGAGACCCCCTATTTCTCCTGACTGAGGATGAATCGGCCGAATACTCTTTAGTAAAAGAGGATTTATTCCTACTCCGTTGCTTCTCATAAACCTCGGATAATCCAATCCTTCCGAGCAACACCTGCAATCATTGCTCCACAGGCAACCACTTTCTCGCTTCCACCTCTTCAAAGACCCGGAAAACAGGCTTAATCTTGCCACATTACTTTCTATACAGAATGCAAAATACCAATACCATGTCGTACATCTTTTTAACCACGGGAGAGATTTAAAAGAACAAAAGTAATAAAAAAAGAATCAGGAGACAACCAAGTAGACATTTGTTACCTACAACCTCTGCAAGTAACTTAAGTGGTTGACTTCTATAATTTCTGTTCAGCACTTATTAGAAAAAATACATGTGGACAACTTTGAGGCCGAGTGGATGAGATGGTGCTCTTCTATTAGTCCAACCAAACATGAGTAACCAGTATTACTAACTACGAATTGTTACTTCGTAATTGATATATTTGATTCAGTTTGATGTCTCATTCAGTTCCTTCAAACAAATCTTTTATGTTTGATTCAATCTTCTTCTTCTTCTTCTTCTTTTTTGTAATATTTTTTTTTTAAAAAAAATTTCCCTTTCGTAATAATAAAGACCAACTTCATTTTTTGTTACAAACACTTGACATTGCACCATCAGTAACCGAAAACATCCCCCAAAGTCTCATCAAGTACATTATATGCTTCAGGCATACAAATCACGAGTATTGCTCATACCGTAATACTTAGAATAGGGAAATTGTATTTGATTCATAATGTATTGTGCACAATATACAGAGTATATATAGACAATAACAAACCCTAATCTAGGACATAATAGGAAATATACTAAATATTACAATACGCCCCCACAAACTTACAGCGGAGAAGAGAGAAGCCGAAGTTTGTCCCGAAATCGAAAGAATAACTCTTTGGACAAGAGTTTTGTCAGAATATCAGCAAGCTGATCAGCAGCAGAGATAGAATTGACCGAAACAAATTACGCCGAACATGATCTCGTACAAAGTGAAAATCAACCTCAACATGTCTTGTACGAGCATGGAACACAGGATTGACAGCAAGGAAAACTGCACTACTGTTGTCACACCAAATAGAGGGAGGGCGATTTAAAGAAATGCCTAACTCGGACAACAGATGACACACCCTATGCAGTTCAACACAGACATTAGCAACCGCACGAAACTCAGCCTCAGTAGACGAGCGAGCCACAGTGGGCTGCTTCCTAGACGCCCAGGCAATGAGATTAGGTCCCAAATAAATGAGAAAAACAGTAGTAGAACGACGATCATCCGAACAACCAGCCCAGTCAGCATCACTAAATGCAGTAAGAGTACCCAAATCCGTAGGATGCAGAACTAAACAGTAATCAACGGTACCACGAAGATAGCGAAGAACCCGTTTGAGAGCCTGAAAATGAGAAGAGCGAGGCTAATGCATGAACTGACAAAGCTTATTAACCGCAAAGGAGATATCTGGACGAGTGAGAGTGGTATACTGCAGACTGCCACACAGCCGACGATAAGTAGTCGCATCATCAGGAGACAACAGAGTACCATCCAAACGGGACAACACAACATTAGCCTGCAAAGGAGTGGAAACAGGTTTGGAAGTATGCATATTTGCAAGTCGTAGCAAATCAGTGACATACTTGTGCTGAGAGAGAAGCAAACCCTTGGAAGTACGACGAACCTCGACCCCAAGAAAGTAACTCAATGAACCTAAATCCCGAAGAGAAAACTCCTTAGCAAGACAAGAGATAAAATGCTGGACCAAACCAGTAGTGCTGCCTGTAAGAATAATGTCATCCACATAGACCAGCAAAAAACACAACTGATACCCACGGCGATAGACAAAAAGAGACGGATCACAACGAGACTCCACAAAACCCAAGGTAAGTAGAAATGCTGCCAACCGAGAATACCAGGCCCGAGGAGCTTGCTTAAGACCATATAAGGACTTATGCAGTTTACACACATAATGAGGGCGCACCGGATCAACAAATCCCTGTGGCTGAACCATATACACGGTCTCACTTAGAATACCATTAAGAAAGGAATTACTGACATCAAGCTGAGAAATCGATCATCCACGAGCCAGGGCAACAGTCAAAACCGAACGAATGGTGACCGGCTTAACAACCGGACTAAATGTGTCAGTGTAATCAACCCCAAAAGACTGAGTAAAACCTCGAGCCACCAGCCGAGCCTTATACCGCTCAATGGAGTCATCAGCATGAGTTTTAATCTTATAGAGCTATCGATTGCCGACAACATTGCCGGAGGAAGGAGGGGGAACTAAAGTCCATGTGTTATTTTTGAGGAGGGCGGAAATTTCATCCTTCATGGCATTCTGCCACTGAGGAAGAGATTTGGCTTGGGTGAAGGATGTAGGAGCAGTAGACAAGACTGGGGAAACAGAGGTAAGATGAGCCGAGGGATCAAAGATTTTCTTGGGCTTGGGTTGTGGACGAAGTGTCATTGAGTGCTGACGGGAAGGAGGAGGAGGTGGCGGCGGAGGACTGCAATCAGATGATGAAGAGCTGGATGCAGGAGACCTAGCTAAAGGTGATGAGTCGGGAGGGATAGGAGGAGACGAAAGAACTGGTGTACCAGAAGGAGACGAAGAAGACGCAGAAGACGACGCAAGCATACCAGGAGAACTGGTTACACGCAACCAAGGGATAGCAGGAGACTCCAGCAGCGAAGAAGAAGAACTAGAAATAGGATGTTTAAAGGGGAAGAGTTTCTCATCAAACTCAACGTGACGAGCAACATAAAGACGGTTATTCACCACATCAAAACAGCGATAACCAAGATGAGATGGAGAATACCCAAGAAAGACACACTGAGTAGAACGAAAGGAGAATTTATGTTTATTATAAGGGCGAAGAAGAGGATAGACAGCGCAACCAAAGACACGAAGAAAGGTATAATCAGGTGGCTGGTGATACAGTGTAGTGAAGGGTAGGTGACCTTGAAGAGGTTTACTAGGGTGGCGATTAATCAAAAACACAGCAGTTTCAAAAGCAAAATCCCAAAACCGAAAAGGGGTACTGGAATGGCCAAGGAGAGCAAGTCCAATGTCGACAATGTGACGAATTTTGCGTTCAGCAGTGCCATTCTGCTCATGAGTGTGTGGGCACGCTAAACGATGAACAATACCGACATCCTTAAAGAAAGAATTGAGAGAACGAAATTCACCACCCCAATCAGAGTCAACTTTTAATGGTAGTGCCAAATTGGTTTTCTACGAGAGCTTTGAATTGCTTGAAAACATGGACAACATCACTTTTATACTTAATGGGATAAATCCATGTGAATAAAGAGAAGTCATCAATAAAAAGCACAAAGTAGCGATAACCATTGAATGACAAAATAGGAGCAGGACCCCAAACATTAGTGTGAATTAAATCAAGAGGTTTAGAGCTACGATGAAAAGTAGAAGGTAAACTGACCCTATGTAACTTCCCTAAACAACACGCCTCACATTTATCAGTGGACGTGGACACAGAGGAATAAGGAAGTTGAAACTGCCTAACCAAAGTACGAAGAGTGACGTTATTAGGGTGCCCTAAACGAGCATGCCACTGACCTAAAGAGACAAGATAAGCTGCGGGAGACAAGGAACCACGCGCAGGAAGATCTAAGCGATAGAGACCATTATCAGCCCGACCGCGGAGGAGGAGTTCCTTGGTTGAAAGATCCTTAACACAACAAGAGTCAAAATAAAATTCGAAAAAACAGTGATTATCACGGGTAAGCTTTTGAACAGATAACAGAGGCTTAGTAAGAGAAGGAGCATGCAAGACACGATTTAAATAAAGAGGAGGAGAAAGCGATGGCAAGACAGATTGACCAACATGCTGAATAGGCAAAGCATCTCCATTACCAACTAAAATATGATCCGTACAAGTATAATCATTGGAGATACTGAGAGAGGACACATCTGGCGTGACATGATCGATAGCACCAGTGTCCGGATGCCAGGGAGTGACAGAAGGGGCATACTGCGCCATATGGGCTTGAGGAGACATAGTCGACTCCGGGTAAGACGAAAGAGGCAACAAACCAGCTGAAGGCGGTGCAAGAGAAACTACCTGGGCATAAGCA